CTCTAAAAGAAGCTCCAAATGATAGAAAATCCCAATTTTTATACTTTTCGATTACATAAGCAATCCACCCAGCAAAACTGACACACATAAGATAAAGACTTCACTCAGAAAGGCTGCCACACTGTAGATAAGAAGGGAGAAAGCAGAAGTAGCTAAAAATGTTCTCTTTTGGGTGTTTCCCTAAAGACACCTTATGTTCCCGAGTGGGCTGGGACATTGGGTGTTTTCCTTGCTGTCCTTTCATGACCCTGCATCCATGACTCTGCAAGGGCCCAAAGACAGCAGCACATATTCACAATTCATACTTCCTATGCTGTCTCCTAATTCTGGGTCAACAGCAACTTTAAGACTTGTGGACTTCAGCTCCGAAAATTCCCTAGCCAGCATGGGCCTCAGCAAGTATAGGACAATGGAAGTTATAGCCCAAAAGCATCAGAGTACCTGACTATAGAGTAATTTAGCAATTGATAGGACTGTAAACCTTGTATTTCCAAATTGAAGATCCAAGATTTATTTCTTGCATGTGCAGTTAAGAGATGATAACAGTTGATGAGAAAGCTCCCATGTCATTGTTTTTACTATTTTCCCAAATATTTTTTTAAAAAGCACAAACTTTTTATGCAGTCTTTTATTTTCTCTTTTCTGTTATGAATAAATGATAAAATTGGTCTGAGCAATAGCTGTATACTTTTGGTTCTGGCATGGAATGTTCCTTTTTATGGAAAAATGTGATTTCATAATTTCATTTTGACTCATACATGTGCTGGCATCCTGTATTATGAATGCCTCATTGTAATGGCAATCTTTCAGTGATGTCATTTGGAAAGGATGTTTCTGCACTCATAATTCAAAAAAAGGTTGGTACCAGTCCCATTAAAATAACAGAGGAAATAGCCTAATATACAAAAATGTTCCTCTTTAGCTTTTTAGAATTATTTATACAAGAGGACTCTTATTCTCTCAATTAAAACATGTAATAACAATGTGTAAAGTTAGCACTGTGGGGGAAGAGTGACTATCAAGCTTTAAAAGAAACGAGACAACCAGCAACCCACTGCACCATTATTTGAAGAGATGTTTCCTTACCTAAACAGAGAAGCAGAATGATCACAGGGGAGCAAAAAAAATCAATGGAAGCAGGAGCAACTTCTGAGGCCCTTTCGCCTTCCCCACTGAGTATCCTTGTGAGAAGTTGGCAGTGAATATTATGAATCTTCCTCCCGCCTCTTCCCTTCCCAGCAGCAGCGCAGTAATGCTGAACCAGCAAAAAAAAAAAAAAAAAAATCCCCAAATTTCATTTCCCTGGGAGTAAATGGGTCCTGGTATTCTGTAAGTTAGCCCATTTTAGCTATTTCTATTGATAACATTTTGCCCTATGATGCGGTATTTGCCCAATTGAAGCTTACAAAGTATCAAACAGACAGAAGAGTTTAAGAAATATAGAGATATGTGGGAGAACAACTTATGATTCTCATACATTTTGCCCAGTGTTGAATTATCTCTAACTGGAAGCTAAGTGGAAACAGGCAGGCTCCATTTCACATGGAAAAGAAGGGCCCTGTGTTGTTTGCCAGACTTAACAATCGGGTGACTTAGAGTAAAGTTATTGCCATCTTTCTAGCTGTCTTGAATTAATGCTAGGAGAAGTAATAAAGGAAATGTGAAAATGTTGTGGAACACAGAATTATTGCACAAACTAGACTTGTAGACGCGCGCGCGCACGCACACACACACATATATATCTGCATAACTTTATTAAAAATGTATAGGGTTCATATCAGAGCATAGATTTCCAATCTTTGGCACTCAAACCATATTTAAATGAATGTGGAATTCTTCAGATCTATGCTTACCTTTCGAACTTGACAGCATTCTTCCCTCAGTCCCCCTGGAATGGTTGGTTGTAAAAATGTTGGTGAATTTCCCTGGATATGATAGTTAATGACATGTAGTAAAGTTGAACATGCTGGAATGTAAATCTTCAATCAAAAGCTTTCCCACAGAGTAGCTGCGATCCTACTGGCTTGTGGGTAAATATGCACTCAAATTCCTTCACCAGTAGTCCTAGCATGCTGACAGGAGGGTAAGCTTACATCCAGAAGCCTAAGCAGTATGGATGGACAAGGTGAAAGCCTATCATCTGTGTATATGGATACATCATAAAATGGGAAGGTTTAAATCCTGAATCCTGCGCATGTCTATATGTGCATGTAAATTTCAGGTGTTGTACAAGCCTTGCTTTCAGAATAAATTAAAATGCTGAAGCTGAGCTCAAGAATCAAAAGACGGACGTTGTCAGAAGCTATCCCTGCAGAAAACAGAACACCTCTGTGGGCTGCAGTAGTTTCTCCATGGTACAGCCTCAAAAATATTGAAGACAAAACTTTCCTTCAATAGAGATTACGTCAAGATAGAACTGAAGAACGAGTTAAGCATTAATAAATTGGCCAGCAGATGGAGCATTTTGCCTAAAAGGGCTTAAGTTTCTTCATACCTTATTTGGTAGATGTTACAGCCAAGATCAATCAACTAATGGGACAAATCAAGAAGAATGTTTATGAAAATGGAGGAAACAAAACTGTACAACTGATTTTGTGATATGATTTGGAAAACCATTAATGCTCAGTAAGAAAATGCTGGAGAGGCAGTGTGGTGTTAGACTAAGAAGGAAAGAGCAAACTTCTACTCCAGCCTCGGTCACAGAAGATCCTTGGGTGACTTTATGTCACTCTCTCCCAGCCCTTCATAACTCACAGGGTTATTGTTTGAAAAACAGGAAAGTACCCTGTGCTCTATTTTGAGCTCCTGAATAAAGGATGTAAATCAGATAACAAAATAGTAATCTGTGAATCAGAGCAATAAATGTTTGAATGTTCTTCATATAATCATGTACTTAAACTGTACACTGCTACAATGAATTGCAGTATTTTATATTTTAGCCTTAAAAGCTGCCTTGAAATGTCCATAAAATGAACAGGTGTTGAGCTTAATTAACAATGACTTCACTTTTAGGTACTAATCATTTTTCATAAATTCTACACTAAGTCCAGTGGCTATAAACTATAGCCACTTCTATTAGCTTCACTGGTTATCTCATATAATCATATTTACAAATCCATCTTTTTGCATCACTAAATTAAAGTGTGTTTTGTCTAATGGTTCATTTGCCAATTCTTTAAGTTGTTCTGTTTCTCCTTTGTTTTTAGATTTAAGCCTCAACATCTGCATTTCAAAAATAATAGAATTCCATCTCTGGAAAAAATCACCAACTTATTAAATGCATTATAAAAAAAAAGGATAGGAAGACTTATCAAATAATCACACATAACTTCCTGACTCTGTAGTAGGAAGTTCTGAAAAGCTCGTGTGGCTTTCTGTATTCAGACCTAAATATTCAACATCAGAAAAAATAAAAATGGGCAAAATTAAATGAAGTTGAATTAAATTATAATCGGTGTTGCATGAAAAATTATAATTCTGAGACTGAACCTTTTGAGTTTTTATGGTTCATATGAAGATATCTTAGTATAGTATAGCTATTCCCAACATATACATTCTTCTAAAGCCATTCCAAATGAGTATTTTTTCACATGATCTAAATAATTTTTATAGCAACAAACGATACAGAAAGCAAAAGGGCCAGAAAAATGTTTATCATAGGTTGCAGATTAGTGGCACAACACATATATTGCTTTCAAAAAGTGGCAGTATGATGCTAAACAGCAAATTACTTTTACAATTTGCCTGACTTAATTTTCATAAGTTTTATCCAATGACCTAGAACAAGGGTCTTCAAACTTGGGCCTTTTATGACTTGTGGACTTCAACTCCCAGCATTCCTCAGCCAGCATGCCTGACTGAGGAATTCTGGGAGTTGAAGTCCACAAGTCATAAAAGGGCCAAGTTTGAAGACCCTGAGCTAGAAGCATGTTGCAACATATAGGTTGTACGTTCTGGGGTTTCTATCAAGCAGCTTATGCTATATTCTTGATATTAGCAATCAGTGCAGTTTGAAGGACAGCATGTTTATAATCAGTATATAATGCATATAATATAATTAATAACAGGTCCTTGGGAAGAACTTGAACACCAAATTGAGTCTGAATATCTGGTTGACTGTGCAATGATCCATAATAGCAGACTTATGAATGGCTGAGCAACGATTGCCCATTCATAAGTATGAGTTACCTTTTTTTTTCTTCTACTCAATCATGTCAAATCAAATAGCTTTATTACGATATCTGACCAGCTTTTACAAGAAAAGAGTATAGTAAAAAGAGAAGTGGTTTAATACAATAATTGTTACTGGAGAAGGAAAAAAATAGGACAATAAAACAGCATAACTAATTAAAATTTTTGCATAGTTGTGTAACTTGGTGAAAAAAAAATGGTCACCTGATACGTGTGTGTAGGGTAAGCTTGTCTTAAAAAATAATAAACATAAAATTTATCTGTATGGCGTTCATATGTAGAGATGGTTGAGGTAATCAGAGCATATCTTGGGGCATCATAGAAAGAAAGCACTGTATGAGGAGATGGGTGAGTTTCTGCTTGCATGGATACACAAGGACAAAGTCTCTGTGAATAAGGAATCCCATGAAAACTTCCCTCCAGTAGAGCTGATAGGAAGGTATTACGTTGGGCTCTAGTAAAGGCTCATTATATTTGCTTAGTGTTAAATTGTACAAGTACCCCATAAGAGAGGGCTTGTCTATTGGTGATAGGATTCAGGGCACTGGTGATAACATTTTGGTGATCAGTCTCCCTGATTTTCTGTTTTTACTGTGCTGTTCTAAGTCCTTCTTCTGTACCTGCACTGCTAGTGTTTTTCATTTCAAAATCTGACAGCTCTTTAAGAATCTGCACACTGAAAATATCCTTTGCTGCAATTATTCTGGATTGCAGCTCTCATAATGAACTTGTTATGTCACAATGACAAAAATAGAAATTATAAGACACCACCAAGCTAATACAGAAGATGAAAACACGGCACCAATGTATATTCTGCCTTCAGGTGAATTTAATGAGAAACTTGTGTGGCATGCTCAAGACATATTTGGGTTAAGTCCATATATAAAATGCATCTAGCTCAGCTGTAACTATTTAGACATGAACAGAATGAATTTGTCATGAATACAAAGCAATACCATTTCTAGGTAATTCCCTAAGCAGCAACATTTTTTTCCAAAACAAAACAGGTTGATTGAATATTTACAAGTGCATTTCTTTTACAAAAATACATGTATTTTAACACGTAGAAGAGACCAAGTCATTAATAATGACCCCTTTTCACTTCAATTTGAATATTCATAATCTTTTACAACCACAAAAAGATTTCTTAAGGTATTACTAATTTTGACAAAAAATTCTGTAAAATATTTCCAACTTAAAAAAAAGAGATAACAATGAAATATTGTGCATTAAGGTGTACATATTACAAGAGTTTTCTATAGTGAGAATCAATCAGAAAGAAGTACAAGAGAATTACTACATGTGTCATACTTTTTGTCATTTTTTGGAATTTATAAAGACAATTCTTAGGTATGTTTTTTAGCTCCATGAAGTTATGGATGTTTTTATTTCCAATTTTATTTTCCAATAGTTATCTGGAATATGTTTTTTTAAAAGAATTTCATCATATCTTCATTTTAAATGGCTAATCGTAAAAAACGAGAAGGCCTATGGAAATAGTATGATTCTCAATTCGAGCAAAGAATCTATTATATATTTTTAGAAGAAAATATTAAAAAAACAGAGTTCTTGAAAGTTTTCCATTAAATTAAGAAATACTTTGGAAAAAAATTAGTACCCAACATTGCCTTACCTGTAAATCTGTAGGACAGGTGTTACTGATATCAATTTTAAGGTAAAATATAGTATTTGCCAAGCAAATGCTAATATTGTATCACTTTATATTAAATAGGTAATTGTGAAACCATAATTATTTTAAAAGGCTAACAATCTGTTCAGTTTTGTGCTTTGTAGAGTAAGAGTGTATTGGATTTTTGGTTCAGTGGCTAAATAAATTACAACCAATGGCAATAAAAACAGAAATCTGAAATTTCCACTTCCTGTTTCCTGAGTGGGGGGGGGGGGCTGTGTTACTCAGGACTACTTTGAAAATTGCTTCTCTGCAGCTAGAAAACATCACTGAGAAGCAGAGGTGACTAATAACCAACATTCTCCAATCTGGTGTTTTCATGATAATATCGGTTATAACTCCAGAATTTACAACTAGCATTCTAACAGAGTATTTACTTTCAATTCATATAAATATTTTAATAAAAATATAAGTTATTTCTATAAAGTTAGGCCTTAAAAAAAGACCAGCAAGATCAATTCTAAGGAAACTCAAATTTCAAAGCAACAATTCAGGAAGTAAAAATGCAAAAGAAAAAAAAGAGACAAAGTGAGAAAGAGAGAGAATAAGAGAGAAAGAATGAGAAAGAAAAAGAACAAGAAAAAAAGAAACAAGAAAGAAAGAAGGAAAAATATTTTTGAAGCAAGTGACTTTGGACATTTTTTAAAAGAATGTTAGACATTTTTCAAATTTTTCTTTTATATTATTATAATCTGTTTATCACATATAAAAAATCAGTGGATCCCACTGCATATTCAATCTACTTTGTTTTAGTAACTCAAAAATATTCAGAATCCTATTCTTCCTGCACAGCTTTCATAGTACTTTCCATGTAAATAATGGCAAGCATCAGCTCTCTCTTGGAGAACTGAATATTTTAATAGTCTATAGGTTTCCATAATTTATTTAAAATAATTGAATCATGTAAGAACTTGAGATGAGCTTCCATTAAAAATGACAGATCGCTTGTCATAAAGGTAACTGGAAAGTGTATTATAGCTAGCTAGCTAAAATACCATTAACAAAAGCAAAAAAAAAAAAAAGCTTTACCTTTGTGTTTGTGCAGACAGATAAATCTAAATTGTAACATTTAAATAAAGACATTTGCTTCAATATAGCAAGCACATTCTCCTTCAAAGTACAGTATATTAAAATATTTTACAGTAGTGCTTTCTATCAACTCAGTACTATCTCCACATACTGCAGGGAATTATCTATACTTCTACATAGAACTTGTTTTTTAGCTGAAGATGCCAATTATTTTGAGACTTTTCTACCTAAAAAGATTTAGCTTCTCCCTGAACTACAGTACTTCCTAGCAGCAGTGTACATTATGAGTTACACCTAAACTTCACTGGACAAACGATGTGGTCATACAACCTGTGTCAATGGCCTCATGGCATATGATGCAAGTCATGGCGCACAAGCCACTGGAACCCTGTCCAGCCCCTCCTGGAGTTTCCTCTTGTTCAGAGAATAGGACATATTTTGAAATAAGCCTGAGCACACGTGCCACATTCACAAGCATCTAACGTGAATAGGATACTGATGAAAAGGGAACCTACTCCCCAATTAAATTTTGTTTTATTGCTTTTAATGGATAATTCCATTTCCTTTGTGCTGCTTTGTGGAAAATTATTGTAGAGTAAAAGCGTATATAATTTTTGGTTCAGTGGCTAAACAAAAGCTTCTCTTCATGTTTTACAAGGAAATGCTCAGATTCTTTAACACTATATTAATATGTTATGAATTTTGACAAAAAGCATCTATAATGTAGAGGTACAATGCACTGTATCAGAAATGCAAATTTGTAGGCCACAAGGAGGTTAGATGTGCAAGAAATATTTTAAGGCTTTTACTTTCATAGCTGAGAAGTCATATCTCGGACTTTTGCACTCTTTTTTCCCAACTCATTTGGAAAAATCTTACTAATCATGGTTAAATCATATCACAAAAATGAAATAAACTGGTTCTGAAATCTGGAAATTCATTGAATTGCTGTTGAAAGTCTTTTTACTCAGAGCCCAAACATTTGTTTTCATATGATCCTTTATGTATTGCAAAAGGCAAAATCCCTGCTAGGTACAGTGGAAAAAATATTTTGGATGATTTGGACAAAATGCTTCAGTCTTCTGCAATATAATAAGAAATAGGAGATTGAAAATGTAACACAGATCAGTTGGAATTAACCTATGGAATATTACATTTCTTCTAATGAGACAAGCTAAAGCAATAATTACTCACTCTGCAGAGGAAATCTGAAACAAAAACTGTTTACAACTTAATTGTAAAATCAAGAATGCTTTTACAGTTGCATGGATGTTTAATTTTAACAATGCTGAGCCTGACAGAATGCTGACATGAGAAAAAGACTAGATGCTCCCTATTAGTATGTAGCAGGAGTCTTCAAACTTGGCCCTTTCATGATATGTGGACTTCAACTCCCAGAATTCCTCAGCCAGGCAAGCTAACTGAGGAATTCTGGGAGTTGAAAAGACATAAAAGGGCTATGTTTGAAGACCCCTGCTATATAGGGACAGATAAGTCTCACTGCTAATGAGTTAGCCATGTTTGCTTAGTAGTAATGGAATATCTTTCAATTAATTACAAAAATACCAGAAAAAGTAATAAAGGCATTATGTAGGACTGATCTGTATTGATAGATGTCTTAGGAGCAGGCAAATTTAGATTTGCCCAAAAGCCCTGAAAATTTGAACTATGCATCGATTTCCTAGGGTTTGGGATAAAAGAAAAAGTAATATCCTATGTATCCTCTCCATGGGGAGACATACATACTTCTAGGTTCATAGTCATTTATCCCAGAAATATGGGAATTGCAGTTTTGGGGGTTATCCAGAATTATGGAATGAAACCCACAAATTACTCATATCTTTTACCCCCTTGTTGAAGGGAATATTCAAAGCCACTCTTAAGACACTGAATGCATTAAGAAATCTGTTGTCATTATATACATGTTAAACTGAAGACTGAAAAAGCTTTATGTACAACTTTATGTAATCAGGTCCCCAACTATATCTGACTTTTTCAGTGTTATGTATGGCATGATTGACTAGCTGAGTTAATATGTTATCTAAGCCATCAATCATAGTTTACAAACCACATGGGTTCATAGCTTAAGCTAAGCCAAAACCAAACAAACTTTATGATAACAAAGCACAATGGGTAAACTCAATCAGAATATACAAAATTCTGACTAAGATTCACAGAATGAGTTCCAAGGACCCAAAGTTTTGTATATTTAAAAGTAGCTTCAAAAGCAATGTATCAGCTGTTTTGAAAATGAAAGGGAATGGCAAAATTATTTTTTTAGTATGCCATAAGACGTATTTAACTATTCAAAAAAGAAGAAAAAACCCTAGGCGAGAGCTGAAACTATCATTTCGATCCAATCAATTGTATCTAACAAAAGAAGCATGTACAAATGATACTTTTTCAATGAGCTGAGAACATTTAACAGATGATTTAACATTTAACTGAGAATTCTTTACATTTGTCAGAAAGTGCTGGCCCCAAGCATAACAAGCATTGCATGGTATTTTAATCTATAGCTGATTACTCTAGACTAGAACCTTAGAACCAAGTCTATTCGTCTGGGATTTGACCTGGTGCAAATAGCACATTTTTCCTCTAGAAATAATGATCTACTTTATATGCTCTTACTTACAAGACCCCTGTATTACAAGGAAGGCATACAGTATTTGAGCTTAGTTTCCAAAACTCAATAGTTTTCTAGACTGAATTACTTGACTTATGGTATGTAATTTACTATATAAAGAATGATGTTTATTAAAAATTGTACAAATCATTAAACTTGACTGTTACCTTGGTTTTTAACTGCAAAAAGGTAATGGAAGACAAGAAAAAACAGTATACAATACATTGTGATTTCTCTAGTATTATCCATAACACAACATTATTGAACAAGAAAGAATTCACATGTAATACCTAAGGCAACCATTAACATTTTTGAACACTACTGTTTTGAAAAAAAACCAAAAAAACCCCCAAACACCCTGAACAGCCAGTTTTGGTCACATAGCTTTGTAACCATTTAAATTTACTTGAGTTTCACACTTGACAACCCATTTTATAACAACAGTAAGATTCCTGGTAACCTGTGATGCAATTAAACTGGCTCATTTTATAAGCGTACTGATGCATATTACTGAATATGTTCAAAGTATACAGAAGCATGTTCCATTCCAGTGGCTGTAATCCAACACATTTAAGACCATAACTTTCTAGTATTATTACCAAATTTCAAAGGGAAGGCAACAACAATTAAAAATATAACCCACATTTTGAGAATAAAGTTTTCACAACAGTTTGTGTTTTTCTTTTTAGTTGAATTATAATAAAATTTAAAATATCTCTTCTTTTAAAAACATTTTACCTGCTGCACATGTGCCTATGTGTTTATTACTCCAAATCAAAACTTTAAATAAAAGTTTTGTGTATTATTGAAAGGAGATCATATGATATTATACCAGTCAAGTTCAATTCAGTTTGGATGTTTTCAACTCCTTTGATACAAATTCTAACTGTTCAGATACTGCTAAATGATCACTGCATATCAATGAGTGAACTACATCAGATTCTATGAGAAGCTGAACAAGAAAAAGTAGTGGTAAAATAACCACTTTTCTGAAACATGTATTATATACAAAATATTTAAAGTTTTAACCTTTTATACAGTACTTTTAAACAACTTTTTCTTCAGTAAAACAGTACATGTGAAAAAACAATACCACAAGAGAAATAGAAGACAGCTATTTTTTCTAATTGTAATTGGTGTTATGGAAGTTTTCTATCAGGCAAAGCAAGTGTTCAAGAGATTCTTTTTCTTGACTATACATTTAATGATTTGGCTATAATTTACAGTCTTTGATGCCACAAATATATCGTGAATGTTTCAGTTGCAGAATGGCACTTGGTTTATTCTAACAGTAGGGACAAAGTAATTGATCAAGAGAAGTCCATATTCGCAGGTTGAAATTCGAGTGGTTTTCCCCCCTCCCCCCCAATCCAGGCACATCCATTCATTGTGCAATCTGTCGATGGGTAAACAACATAGTGCAGGTTTAATCTCAGTGGAATCTGGCCCTTTGGTTTAACTGAAGTCAATTCTGGGTCGATACTGGAGTACCATGGGATAAGACTAAAATCACAATGAAAACAGAACAGAGACAATAATAGCAGGTAGAACATGAATCATTAAGTCATTACACTGCTTGTTTATTTAACAGAATTTAGTTAGTAAGTCCTTTCACATCAACATTAAAAGGAACAAAATAATACAAGGGTAAGAGCAGTATAAGTTAAACTCTCATGTCCACCTGGCTCATCAATAAACCAATAAATATTCTCAAAATGAAAAATAAATTGGCCATGTTCTCAACAATCTGAATTCACTAGCACTTTTCTTCCTAAGCAGTTCCTCATTATCTACAGAAGGATTGCTTGAGAGGCTAAAGAAAGCAATAACCCTTTATAAGGAATGGTGGGGGAGAAGTTGTCCCCAAACCAGTTCTTTTCAGTATTGAAGTAATTTTAATTCTCTCTCTGGATACACAGAGTACCATCATTAGATACCAAAAAACTAGCAATTTTTAAAATTAAACAAGAGAATATATACAAGGTAGCCAAGAAGTGGCATCCAGGACTGCAGGAATTTACTGCTGCTAATAGTTGTGATGGTCCTCACAGTAACACTGTGCTGAGCACAGAGGTTAGCTTTGTACTCCATTGCATAAAAAAAAAAAAGGAATTTTCACCAGCTGTTCTGATTGGGCTTAATCATCATTTAAGGATGCTCTCTTTAAAATTCCCAAGCAGTCCATAATTCATAATCACCTGATATAAACTGTGATGATGCAAAAATAATGACAGGAATCATCATGATATAAATCCCAGCCTTTCATCTCAGCATCAGACACGAACTTGTAAAATATGTAGCATGCCTATGTCACAGCTGCAAATAGCCACATCCCAGAAAGCAAAGGAAATTTAAAAATAGCTTAGATTACAGTGTTTTTCTACCTTGGCCGCTTGAAGATGTGTGAATTTCAACTCCCAGAATTCCACAGCCAGTATGCTGACTGTGGAATTCTGGGAGTTAAAGTCCACACATCTTCAAGCGGCCAAGGTTGAGAAACACTGCCTTAGAAAATTAATTCCTGAACAGTGTTTGTTCACCATGTACTAGGGCGTGATCTTTTTCATACCAATATCTGGTATGTGCAACCTGTTGCTAAAGTCCAATTCTCATCATATCTAGCCACTGTTGACAATGTTAAGGGATGATGAGAAATGTTCGGTAACAACATTTGCATATTCATACCTCCCTTATGACACTCTTTAGGGTTATAATCTGAAAATACAGGAACATGTCAAAGCAGTGATATCCATTTCCCCCAATACTACTGTCCATTTACATAAATTATGGCTGTACTTTCTGCACCTAACTGCAAAGGACTAGCTCAGATGGCAATGTGTAATAGACCTTGCACAAGCAAATTTATTCTAATACTGGATATAACAGTGCATTTTACAGTCTCACCATAAAGAGATCATGATGCTTTTTCAATTTCTTCCCTAGCAGGGTGACTTACCTGGTTATATAAAATTGAAACATACAATGAATACTTCAGATTAGAAGTCCATTATGACAAAGGTTAATATTCTGTGGCATTCTGGACTAACTCTCCTTCTTTGAAAATATGGTCACTATATAAAAGATAATATTTCTGCAATATATTTCTAATATTTCATAAAAATAACTTTAAAATCCTAAACTTTCTATCCCTTGAAGCCCCTAATTATGAAACCAAATATTCATAACACCCAATCATTCAGCTAAGATAGTGTAGCCATAATGGTTACCAATTTTCTGTTATATTCATTTCGCAAAATAGTTATAGCACTATTCAGTAATCTTAATGTCCCATGCTTGTAGATACAAAATAATTTCAGGGATTATCCTATTGCTGCATTATTTTGTCATGATAATATAAATGGAGTTACATAGAATATTGCTAAAGTGAGCAAAGCCTCAAAGAAGGCAATACATGATAGCATTAAGTCTGATTAGTTTACAAAAAATAAGACTGTCAACTTGTAATTAACCATGGGTTAATATTCATGCACATCGTATCCTATCATACCTTACTATAAGTGCTACAATTAATCAACAGCATAGGAAATCTGACCTACCTAAATCGTTGTAATATTTTTATTTCAAGTTGATTTACAAAATTGTTTTTTTATAATTTGGGAGCCAATGAAGAGCCTATAGCATGCTACAAAAGATATAAATTAATGAATATAGCTTGCCCCATGCAATTTTTTAAAAATCTAGGTAAACATTCAGACAAAAACCCAAGACTTCAATCTTTATACTTAAATTTAGTCTAAAGAACTTAATCTAGCAGAAAATGAAAGACACGTTCAGCTCCCACCTAAACTGAATTTCAAAGAATATGGCCTTAATGACTACAATGTGTGCAGTCGGGAGTGCCTCTTACCTGATAAAAAGAGCCATCCTGTGAGCAGACTTGTGACGAGGAGCAGTTCTGACACCGAAACTGCGAAGGAGATGATTTTCTGATCAGATAAGAGGCATCCACAACTGAACATTGATAATCAGTCATTTAAAAATAGTTTCATATTCAAGAATGTAATTTTCTGACCTGTAGGAAATGAGCTATATGGTTGCCAGAATTTTTTTTAATGCTGATTTCTTGTTCTCCCAGTATTGGCTACAAACAACCCCATGGATTATCTTAGATATAATTGGAAGTGGATGGGGAGGTGGATATTGGGAATCCCTCCCCAGTTGAGTTAAAGTATCCTTGACATATATGAATGCTTTAAGGCAGCAATGTGTCATTAAAAAGCACAACATAATAAAAATAAGAACAGCGGTGAGGCAAAGGGAGACAGCAAGAGGTTAGCAGTAAGATTTGCAAAAAATTCAAATTTCTATATTGCCAAGAATTTTGCAGGCAAAAACTATGGCAACAAATTTAATTAACATTAACATTAATTACACTAATTGTGAATTCAGTAAAAAAAATAGGTCTCATAAAAATGGTAATCATCTATTTCTAGCCAATTTATAATAATTATTAAAATGCAGAATTATGCAACTTTTAGAGAGATGTATTTTTTAAAAGGCTTTAAGTAAGCCTTTCCAAAGGATACTCCTATTCCATGTTAGAAAACGGGAATTATTATTTTGTAGAGTTCAACTTTCTTAGATTCATTAAATATTCAAAAAATGGATAAAATGTAAATATTTATTAAGCATACCAATGTATTGAAGAGAGTTAAACTATAGATTTAACTAAAAGAGAAAATAAGTTAGCAGATAAAGAAATATGGAACAGTCCTACATATATCCATACAACAGAACTGCTCTCATGAAACACTAGACCAGACAATAATTTTTTTTAGATCTGAGTATTTTATTTTCCTAGTCACAATTGTTTTGACATTTGTATCTATAATTATAATACTGTTTTAAGATGACATTTTCAGAAATCTGAGAAGTTATTTTTTGTACCCCAAAGATTCTTGTTATTTAATTTTTTTTCAATTTATCTGGGTCACTTTCCAAAATGAGTTTCTTCATAGTACATGCCGATGTGCTATCTACAATTCATATTTTTGAAACTGTACATTTGTAAATTTCATACAGTTGGATGCTATCTAAATAACTAGTTTTTTTGGAAAAATAAATGTTATTTAGTAGAGATGTGCCCCATCTCTACTAACAAAGTTAAACTACTGGCCAGCGAGACTGGCATTGCCTATTCTATCAACTCTCCTGAGTCTCAGACAGAGTTGTTCCACTACTTGCTCTCTGACCTTTAATTGAAGATGTCACTAAGGTCGGTGCCCTTCCTCTAAGTCCTTTTTTATTTATATTAAACCTGCTAAGAATATTATATACCAGTGATGGCGAACCTTTTAGAGACCGAGTGCCCCAAAACTGGCCCCGCCCCTGCTCCACCCCCTGCCCCGCCCCACCCCCACCCTGTCCCCCAAGGTCCCTGCCCACAGAGCCACTCACCACCTCCAGAGCCCACCACAGATTGCCCAGGCAGCCCAGCACCCCATAGTGGCCACGCCCTCTGCCCGCATCCTGCAGCGTCAACTGTGCGGGATGGGGCATGAGGGCAGAGTCTTGTCTACGCTGCCTGGCTGCCATGTCCTTGGCTGCCCTGCTCCGTGTGGGCCACGCTTGGGGGCGACTCTCCTCCAGGGGGGCTGCTGGTGAGGAGGGGATCATGGGGGGAGGTGAGGTTGGGGCAACAGCACGTGTGCCCACAGAGAGGGCTCCGAGTGCTGCCTCTGGTACGCATACCATAGGTTCGCCACCACTGTTATATACTTTACCCACCTGTTTAAAGTCAAGATTTTCCTGAATTTAAATAATAGAGGCACAACAAATTCTAGCCTTCTCTGGCCTACAGATCTCTGAATTTGGTGGAATAGTTGCTCCATTCTCTACCTAATTTTACTTATGTATCAGCCTACTTCCCTTTATGAAAATAGACTAAGTTGTTTGACAAAAAGATTACCTCTTCCTTGGTCATTCTCACCATCCTAGGAAAATTCTGGCAATTACTGATTACTTCGTCTATCTATCTGAACTGTTGGCCGCTGATAACAGGAAAGTCTTGAAAAGCAAAAAAAGCTGGCCAAACACTTTGCGCTTTTTGGTGGTCTGTTTCTGGTTATTGCTGATATTCCTGTTAGATTTCCCTTTTTCCTGAATAATTTTCCTGGATAATTCACTGAATAAATCTAGATGCTGTTGAATCAGGGCATTAATGACTTAGTATATCTGCTATACTATTTTATTTGTTTTTTTGCACACTTTACTACCAATTGTCTTTTTGGCATTCTTTCAATGAACTCTAGCAATGGAGCCACAAACTGGTAAAGATTTATTTTGCCTATAAACAATCATTAGTTCTACATGCTCATATGGCTTAGAAAGGCCTATTTAAATAGCAGTACTGAAGATGGAGAGAAGTTGAAATAGGTTGGCCTACCCCTTATCTCAAGATTGTTAAATAGCAGTTTATCTCCTTTAAATTCCAGGCCACACTCCTACATCACAGGAAGGACCAACAGAAGAAGGAGCTCATCACTTGTTACAAGACATACTTTGTTAAGTGCAAATACTTTAAAAATGGCAGGAAGCCCTGTTTTTAGATGTAGCAGTGCCAAATGACAGCAACACCAAGAAGAAGGTATATAAGAAACTGGGTAAGTACCAGGGCCTAGAGGAACTGGAAGTGTATGGAAAAGTAAAGGGCAAATTGGTCCCAGTCAGGCTGATTTCTAAGCTGGGAGAGTGGCTCCAGCAGAGCCCAGTAGAATCAGAGCTTTGTCCAGAAGACTGTGGTGCTAGAAACAGTGAAAATACTGTATACAGTAGAACCTTCAAACTCCCAGGCCTCTGGTAGAGGACCCAAGTTTGAGGAAGATATACAATAGACCACCCATGATGGTGACAAGGTCTCTCTCTCTCTCTCTCTCTCTCTCTCTCACACACACACACACACACACACACACACACACACAAACATATTAAAATAAGCTTTAATGTAATTAATATAATATATAGCTAAAAGCCCTATAATTAATATAAATATATATATAAACTAAAAGCAATAAAAACTTATTTAATTTACATTTTCGCCTCGTAGTCTCCATCTTGTCATGTAGATGAATTCCATAGTATGATCCTTCCCCATGATTTCCCCATTGCATAGTACATCCAGCTTTAAAACAAAAAACAGTTACTTGAAGAAGTATTTTAAAAACATTTTAGAGTTATTTTCATCTTTCCTAGAAGAGAATCATTAATACATAAGAGAAAAAAGAGATTAGAAACCTACCATAGCATGATTATTCTTATGCAAGATAGTTATTTAATGAACAAAAATGCAAACAAAATGACTTTTTAGCTACTTATGTATTTAATTATTATTCCCAAACACAAACTGTATCTCCCATCTAAAGAAGCTGCTTAAAATAAAGTGTTTAGAACACAGAACATCCATTATAGCTGTTAAATACACTTACATGTTCCCCCCCCCCCAAAAATTTATTTTGGGATTAATTTGGTCTTTATTCTAAATCATTGGATATTTTTAAAAGGATAGAAGAGTTACATACTTGTATTTTTTATGGCAACATGAATATGCAAATTAGGAAATTATCTTATGCTGTTTTATATGCAGTATATCTTCAATATGAGAGAAGGAGAAAAATTAAATTTTATTTGGCATAAGAAAATTAAAAAAACCTGATGTTATACTATTTTAGCCATCCAATTCAGCACTGTGGCAATAATTATCCAGGGGTTTAAGCATGGTCTTTAATATCACCTGCAAAATTATTTTTTTAAACTTTTTCTTTTCAAGGACAGGATCTAAGGCCATTAGCACACAAAGCATATACTAAAGTAAATTGTGATCCAAATAATGCAGTCACAAATACTGATTTATAACTTCCTGGTGTTCGTATATTTTATTGTTTAATATGAGTCTACCCAGGAATCACTGTTTTGTTTTTAATATTCTTAATAGTGTATGTATGTATATACATACACCATATATATATATATATATATGGTAAGAAATATAAAATGAACACCAGGGTAATAAAAACTATAAAAGTTTTTAATTAATTAAAACTATAAAAGTTTAATTAAAAAGCGCCAAGCTTTCGCCGTCACCTGCCGGCATCCTCAGGGCTAGTGCGCCAGGGAGTGAGAGAATCCTTTATAGGCGTGTCAAGGTTTGCGCCCGGCTCCTTGATCTCGTCATCGGGCCTGATTGATTCAATTGCATACAGTTAACTTGTTCTTCCTTGCTCTTTTTAGTTACGTGTCTATCCTCATCCATCTCTATTTCTCTTAACCTTGGGGTGGGTGGATGACAACTCCAGTTGTTTCGGTTGTCTCTATGTTTTGACTTCCCCCCAGGTTCAGGTGGCAATACACATCCCACGTTCCTTTCCCAGCCGTATCTTATCCAGTTGTTCTTTTTAAGGCAGCTTTCCCTTTTAATTCCAATACTTTCGTTTTCAGTGCACTTGTCGTGCGAATGATCTTGCAAGCTGTTACAAGTCAAATATGACGTGGGGGTGATCTTGGGTTGGGAGGTGGATTGTTTGGCTGGGGGGAGGGGCAGTTTCCTAGCCGTCGTTGTACCCAGTTGTCTTGCGCGCGTCTTGCTTCGGGTGATCGGTCCGGGGGGAGTGGTAACCGGATCGCATTCCTTCTGATTGTCCCAATACTCCTCTTTAGCTCTCCCTTTTTTCACGTTGTTAGTGTCCATATGTGTCCCATGGGAGTCTTCCAGATCGGCGAACGCGGGACGCGATGGTTCGGTCTCTCGCACTCCACCGCTCTCACAAGTCTCCCCCTCCCGTCTTCCCCTCCTCTCCAATCCCCTCTTTTCCTCCTCTCCGGCGGTGCTCGAGAGTTTGTCACTGGTTGCGCCCTGTAATCCACACCCCCCGGATCCGGTCGTCCTGGCTGCGCGAAAGGGTCCTCTCCTCCTCTCCGGATCGGCCACAACGTTTCTTTTTGTGCATAGGCGAGCTGTTATGTTTAACGATTCCCCCGCATCTCCACCTGCTATATCCTCCTTCGTCTCGTTCATACTGTCAGAACTCCGGGTCTCGGTTTCCGCCGTCCCCTTGGTCCTCTGGAATTGTGGTAGCATCGCTGGGGTAGTGGGGGTGTTCCGCAATTGCCTTTCTTTCTCCGGATTGCGCCAAGTCCATTGGAGAGTTTGCCCTTCCTCCTTAATATCATTGGAATTGTTATTAAGTCGTCGGGGGTGTTGCAACTGATTATTGGCACTCCATGATCTTAAAGCCACATATGCCGGGCACAGGTCAACATGTCTATTAATAGACTTACTATCCGAGAGCCATGCCTCCCTAAGTAGGCGGCCCCCTTTAGTATTGTCATTTGCCAGTACGCTAACGCCACTAAAGTTGAACCTATGGCCCAGTTCTGCCATGTGTGCCCATATCTGGGAGTAACAATCTCCCCTTCTCACCGCTAGCCTGTGTTCGTGGACCCTGGTCTTAATTCATTTGGCAGTCTCCCCAACGTAATTGCACTGGCAGTCCATGCAGTCAATCTTATAGACGGCTGCCGATCTTTCGGTGCTGGGGAGCGGGTCCTTGGGGCGCATTATAGCCGCCCGCAGTGTTTGATTCGGTCTATGGGCCACCTGTATGTTATATGGTGCCAAGATCCTCGCTGTGGCCTCTGATACATTATGAATATAGGGGAGGGTAACCCGTGTAGTTGTCTGGGGTATGGGTTCTTGGGGTGTAAGGTTACTCTGGGGTCCAGATGTTTTACTGAACCGATGAATAAACTTTACCGGATACCCATTACGTCTACACATCCGGAAGAGGTAATTTCTCTCTTCCTTCTTAGCTCTGACAGTGCTGCAGTGTGTCTCCACCCGTTTAAATAGAGTCCTGACACAGCTGACCTTATGGGCCGTCGGATGATTACTCCCAAAGTGGAGAATCCTGTCTGTACATGTTGGTTTTCGGTATACCTTAGTAGCCAGACATCCGTCCAACTGGCGCTGCACTAATACATCCAGGAATGCTAAACTGCCCTGATCTTCCTCTTCCATAGTGAATTGGATGTCTGGGTATACCGAATTCAAGATGCCCATAAAGTCAGTCTTGTGTCGCTTCTTGATGACAGCAAACGTGTCATCCACATAGCGGGCCCAGAATTTTGGTTGGTACTGGGCCATCGCTGTGTGTTCCAACTTTTGGAGTACTATCTCTGCAACCACACTGGAGATCGGCGACCCCATTGGTATTCCTTTAATTTGTTCGTATATGTTGCTCTGGAAGGTGAAGTAGGTGTTAAGGCATACTCCCATCAACTTCACAAGATCTTCCGTTTGAAGGGAGTCCTGACATTGCTCATGGTCTCCTTGATTTAACCGGTCTCTTAGGACCGTAACCGCAGGTTCTTGCGGGATGGAATATATATAAATGGAATGAATAAAGCGCGTTCACCAGGAGAGTTTAAAGTTAAAATACTTTAATTAAAGTATTTTACTATATTAAAAGGTTGCCAAGCTTTCGTTGGGAAAACTCCCCAACATCTTCAGGGCTGAGAGACCGTTTCTAACAAGGTGATTCAAACGGGTTCCATAGACGTCTGCGCGTGGTTCCTAGACTGTGCTAGCATTCCCTGCTGAACAGCTGATAGGTGGGAGGGGGAATCGGAGTAAAGATTTCTTCCGTCGTTCTCTCGAGCACTTTTGTTCACATTTCCGTCGACCTCAGGGGGTATTGTTAAAGTTATGTTCCGTCCTCTCCCGGCAGTACTGGCTCTCATTGCAGTGGGGGGATTTAGTTTGATGTCATTGTGTATCCTACCATGGATTGCCAAAAGTGAACATTTTAATAACAGAATAATCAGAGAAGCCATCGAGATAGAAAAACGCCCACACAGCATGAACAAGCGAGATGATACCTCCCGCCTACCAGCCATTTGGAAACCCGCCCTTATTGACAAACGACTCCCTAACACAAAAAATGATACCAGACCCACACTCACAAAAACCACACAGGATGTCACCACCACACATCCACGCAAAAAACAAACCCAAAGCCACACCGATGATGAGGCACGACCACAAACCAGAAGCCAGACCACAGCTGCATCATTAGCCACTTTAAACCCCTCCAATCCATACATGAAGCAAACTGACACCCTCCATGAAGAGGAGGCACGACCACGAACGCGAAGCCAGAAAATAGCAAGGCAGCCCAAAATCTTAAACCCCTCTGCAACTCAGACTAACCTGAGCACAACCAAACAGAACACTCCCCCAGCCAATCAGAGCACAGCCAAGCCCCTAACCATTCAGAACACACCTCCACCCAATCAGAACACAGCCAAGCTCCCACCCAATCAGTTCATACCCCCACTGGCAGTTAAAAGGAAGAAACAGCTAAGACCACACATTGCTGCTCAAAGCACGAAGCTGAAAGCACCAGTCTGAAGATGACGAATGGGACTTCGTCGAAACGTCGCCAAGACACTTCCAATTTTACGCGGGAGAAAACCCGAACAACCAAAGACCTACATACAAATACCCGCGAAAACCTCAGAAAACATATATATATATATATATATATTATATATATATATATATATATATATATATATATGTTTTCTGAGGTTTTCGCGGGTGTTTGTATGTATTGCTGCTCGAAGCACGAAGCTGAAAACACCAGCCTGAAGATGACGAATGGGACTTCGTCGAAACGTCGCCAAGACACTTCCAATTTTACGCGGGAGAAAACCCGAACAACCAAAAGACCTATATATATATATATATATATATATATATATATACGATTAAAAAGGTTAAAAATATGAACCCTGGGAATATTCATAATGAAAATATAAAATGAGCACCAGGGTAGTAAAAACTATAAAAGTTTTTAATAAATTAAAACTATAAAAGTTTTAAAAAACGCCAAGCTTTCGCCGTCACCTGCCGGCATCCTCAGGGCTGGCGCGCCAGAGAATGAGAAGGTCTTTTATAGGCGTGTCGAGGTCTGCGCCCGGCTCCTCGATCTTGTTATCGGGCCTAATTGGTTCAGCCGTGTGCAATTAACCTGTGCTTCTTTTCTCTTTTTGGTTGCATTTTTATCCTCATCCGTCTCCAATTCTCCCAACTCCGGATTAGCTAGATGGCAATTGCAGTTATTTCGGTTGCCTTTATATTCTAACCTCCCCTTAGGCTCAGGTGGTAGTGCACATTCCACATTCCTTTCTCCACCATATCTTGTCCAGTTGTTACTTTTAGGATCGTATTCATTTCCGGTCTCAATACTTTCATTTTTAATGTGTCCGTCATCCTGATGATCTCGTAAGTTGCTACGGGTCCGGTGCAGCGTGGGGGGGTGTTCCACAAGGTGGAGGGATCGTCTCTTATTAGTTGTCATGCCCAGCTGTCCTGCACGTGTCCTACTCCGGGTGCCCGGTCCAGGGGGTGTGTGCACAGCAATCAAGCCGCGTCCCTCTTGGTTGCAGCGCTCTTCCTCAGTTCTCCCCTTTTTTACATTATTAAGAGCATTCGCTTGTATTCCATGGGAGTCCTCAGGACCATCAGGTAGGGGGTGTGACGGCTCGATCTTCCGTACCCTACCGCTCTCCGATCTTCCCTCCTCCTCTATAACGGTGTGCGAGGGTTCTTCGTCAACCACCCCCCGTGGTTTATCCTTGTTAGAGCTAATCGCTCTGGCTGCATGAGGGGTTCTTCTCCTCCTTTCCGGATCAGCCATGATGTTTCTTTTGATGTGTGGGCGGGCCGTTGCGTTTGGCGATTCATCCGCACTTCCACCTGCCGTATCTTCTCTCGTCTCCTCTTTGCTGCCAGGGGGCCGGATCCTGGTTCTTATCACCCCCCTAATCCTCTGGGATTGCAGTAGTCTCACGGGGGTGGTCGAAGTATCTCGCGATTGCTTTCCTTCCTCCAAATTGCACATGGTTTGTTGGATGGTTCGGGTGCTGCCCAAGTTGTTATTGGGCCATCGGGGGTGTTGCCGCTGGTTATTGGCACTCCATGATCTTAAGGCCAAATAGGACGGACATAGGTCAATATGCCTATTAATGGATTTGCTGTCCAAGAGCCATGCCTCTCTAAGAAGGCGGCCCCCTTTGGTACTGTCATTTGCCAATACACTGACGCCACTAAAATTAAACCTGTGGCCCAGATCCACCGTGTGGGCCCATATTTGGGAGTGACAATCTCTCCTTCTCACTGCCAGTTCGTGCTCATGGACCCTGGTCTTAATGCGTTTAGCAGTCTCCCCAATATATATATATATTAATAAGAATAGTGAAAATAAAAATATGATTCCTGGGTGAATCCATAATCAATTACCAATAAAGCGTGAACACCAGGAATATAATAAACTATAAAAGTTTAATACCATCACCGATCACCAAGCTTTCGTCAGATACTTCTGACATCGTCAGGGTTAATGCTGGTCTGTGGGAGAGTGCCTTTATAGGTGAGCCGTCATTTGCACACGGCTCCTAGATCTTGTCGTAGGTCCTAATTGATTTAACTGCTTTTTAATTACGGCTTCCATACTGATGACTCCTCTTTTCTTGCTTTTACTGCTTCTACTCCAGAATTCATGGCGCCCACAAATTGATTGCTGACCCCTTTTAAGGACTCCGCCTCTCTCCTTTTAAGGAAGACTGCATACCCCCAAGTAATGAGCGAATACACAAACAACAGTGAAGGGACAGCCCCCTCGAAAAAAGGGGTCAGCAATCAATTCGTGGGCGCCATGAATTCTGGAGAGGATGTTAAAATCACCCCCATTGAAGAGAAAATAGAAAGGGGAGTTAATAAAGTGATACAAAGGATCGGGAAACAGGATGATGTAAACACAATGGAATCTTGGGCTACAGAGATAAACAATGAGGATATAGTTTTGAAAGAGGATCGTAAACAAAGAAATAGGGGGAAAAGAGAAATAGGGAGTACCAAGAAGGAGGATGAGGAGAATAAACAATATAAACACAGACAGTGCGCATCTAATTACGTGGAATTAAGGAGTCCCCCCGACTTACAGTTATGCAAAGAAGGGAGGAAGAGCTGCGGTACCAGCACAAGTAAGGAAAGTGAGGAAATTACAGCTTGCAACACAGAAACTACGATCAAAACGCAGGTGGATTGGCTGGGACCCATGACGAGGTCAAGAAGCCGGGCGCAAAGAACGCCACATCTATAAATAGCTTCTCCCATCGACTGGAGACTACCCTGATGATGCTGGCAGATGCCAGCGAAAGCTTGGTTTTATTCTGGTTTTATTAAAACTTTTTATAGTTTTATAACTTCCTGGTGTTGTATATTTTATTGTTTAATATGAGTCTACCCAGGTATCACTGTTTTGTTTTTTATATTATATATATATATATATATATATATATATATATATATATATATATATATATATATATACACACACATATATATATATACATATATACATATATACATACATATATATATATACACACACACACACACACACACACACACACACACACAAGAAAATTGCTTTACGGATTTGTTTTAAAATAAATCTACATCCAATTTCAGAGTTACATGCCTTCTAGTATGATTTTGTATTCTGTTTGGATTGTAATACTCCAAATAATTTTTCAGATGAAAAGTTTTCAGATGGAAGCCATTTATAAAATGTTCTAATAGTCTACTCTTTTTCTTTCTTGGTGATTTACCACCTTCAATAAAATAGAGACTTTAAATTGGATTATGACATTTAAAGTGCAATTGAATGCTAATTTACATTGTAATAGGTCTCATGAACACTTCACTAAGGAAAAAGATTATTAATGCACTATATGACATTCCATATTTGCAACGCAAGGAAAAATGATTTAGGTAGCTAAAGTTGTGATCATTTAAATTCACTTAGTCAAAGGACAGCATCTACTACTTTGGGTGATAGAACATCATACCTCATAAGAACTTGGAAGCTTTAATTTTAAACTTAGAAATTTCTTGATCGTTCCTACAGTTACTCGTGTAGAACACCGTATGAATTTCTTCATCAACCCCTAAAAAAACGAGAGACAAAAACTATAAACTTAGATATTAAAATCTGAATTGCTTACATTCCAAATGCTACCTACGTAATCTGATAATCTACCAATTTTATTTACTTATTTATACATACCTTGTCTTTATTATTTTGTACAAACATCTCAAGACGGTGATGTATCCAACACCTTCCACCACTTATTTTCCTCACAACAAACCTGAAAGAGGATGACTGGCCTACCACCCAGCCAGTTTTCATGACTAAAACGAGACTAGAACTCAGGGTCTCCCAGTTTCTAGCCTGGTGCCTTAACCATTAGACTAAACTGGCTTGAATTCTAGCCAATGCTACAATATATAATATCTTATGCTGACATGCAAGAATGATTTTATACAGATTAAGTTCACTAAATGTAATGACTTTTTTGATACATTATTTATTATTTAATTCCTAATGAAAACTATTTGATATTTGTGATATGATAAAATATACATCCCATTAATCTCTTAAGTAACAAAAGTAACAATTGGGGGCAAGATGTTGATTCTTCTTCTGTTAATAAAAGATATTTTTCTTTTAATCCAGATGTATGGAATTTGAGGTCCCACAAATATTATTGTACTATAACTTTCAACAGCACTGGCTACGAGGACAGAGAATCGGAGTTTCTTAACTTTTAATTATATTTAGAACTTTAAAATTAGCTCACTTAGACAGTGGAATGAAGACTCAGATATGGGAACTGCAGAAAAAAAATTAAGAAATTAGTTCAGATTTCCTTTAATTATAGAAAAACAGCATTTAAGTAACAAACCTTACTTGTTTGTATCATATTTGTTTAATCTGCATCATTCTACTAATTAATACTGTATAAAGAGTTCAAAACTCACTTTTACTACATTATCACCAGACTGCCCATTGTTACGTAAACAATCCAGACAAATAGCAATCTGTGGGTCGCTTCTGTGATAGTCTTTATTATCTTGGTTTTCATCTCCATTTTCACCATCTTTAGGATTTTCAGAATTTGCATTTTCTTCTGAAATCAAAAAAGTGCATAGATAGCAATGTAGAAAGTAACAAGCTAAGATTGCAATCTAGGCCAAGTATTCTTGAAATCAATGTCATGTATCTTATTGAAGCAGTGCCAAGAGAGTTCCATTCTGCTTGGAGCAGCTGTTTTCTATTGCACTTGCTGTGCAACTTCTACAAGAAACTTCTCTGAGAGGGAACTGGGAGAAGGTGTTACTTCTGCTTTTCAAACTTAGGTGAGGCAGAAAATGTTCTGAAGAAGTACTTGAAATCAGTAATGCAGTTTATGACATCTAATTATTTAAAGTTTAAGTAATATAAAATAAAAGCACTGATGGTGGATGGCTTGTTCCTTTAGTAAGATGTACATATCTGCATTTATTAACAAATGCAAGTGAAAAATAAGACTGCAGTTTCTAACATTTTAATAAGTTGGAAGTTAAAATGTTACATTGTGAAATAAATGTAAATACCTTTTCCATTTTCTATAGGTTTGTTTTTCTTCCAGAATTCAGCTTCACGGTGCAATTCTTCTAGTTTTTAGTAACAAAAAACAAATTTGTAACTAAAATTAATAATGCAACAGGATTACAAAAATGAATAATCTTGTTAAGAAGAGCAAAAACATACTCTCTCGAAGTCCTGGAACCAGCTTAAATATAATTTCTTCTAAAGTATTATCCAGCCTTGAAAAGAAAAAAAAATCAACAACTTAAAATGCTTAATATGTATATATGCATATATTAATAGACATTACAGGCATACATTAGAGAACATCAAAGGGAAATAACAGAGCTATTCTAAATATATTTCCAATTTCTTTTTGAGCAAATGTTCTGAAAGTGATTACAAACTCATGACTGTTCTATAGGGAAGAGATGTACTCCCAAAGATAGCAATATGTATAATTTGACTTTTGATTCCATAAAGCTAATGGGGCTCTATTGTTTGCTCTGTAATTCTGAATGGCAACAACTTTAAATGAATTCTGAGTTAATCCTTGCTCTTTTGAGGACTATGAAATTGATCGGGGAGATATTCTTTTGGCTAAGATGTAGAATTGGAAAGAACTCAAATGTTCTTTTGAAGAGGAGTAGTCTACCAACACATATACACATGCATAATGACCCCATCCAGAAACATATCTGTCTTATTATCTTACTAGGTTAGAACCAACAGACTTGCTTCAAGATATTGTCAGAATCTGAAGCCCATTAAATTGTTTGAATTGCCATTTATTATAGTGATACTAAAGTATATCCATAATTGGGTAATGATATTAACTATTTATAAATATGCTTAGAAGTGGGATGAGCAGACATCTTGGTGTATATTGTAATTTTTGATCCACAACTATTCAAATTAATGCCAAGAGTATCTATATTCTTAAAATTACTGAAGAACAAATGGGGGTCATAATGTAAAAGATACAATGTACATGTCAGCTGTGTTCAGAACAAGCTTATAAATGAATGCATAAACAAGTTTTTAATGAATTAATCCCTGATTCAAGCGATTAGTTTATACTCTAACACTTCTTTCTTTGTTGCTGCTACCGCCATCACCTTGGACTAGAAAAATAATAAGATACCAGAGATTTAAAATAACAACATACTTAGAGATTTTGAGCAGATATTCATATAGCTGACTCCATGGCTATTTTGCATAGATAGCCATGCATAAGTTATTAATTTTTCCCAGGCAGACAGAAAATAGTAATAGTAGGACATGAATATACAAACAAAGGAAAAAGTCAGTTAGAGTGATGCTTTGATGTGGCGTGTAATTGCAAAATCTATTTAATTTTATATGTACTGTTTCCATTTTTAATACTTAGATTTTCTGAATAAAATTATACATATGCACACACACATACACACAACATTCCTTGTATCTTAGACTAGCATACTTCTTCAAAAAGAAAACATTTATTTGTATTTGTATCAAAAGATACAACTCTTAGTCTAATTAAAAATTAGCTACAATTATTGACACTGAAAACAATATGTATACATATATCCTACTGGAACTCCCTTATCTATTTGTAACCTTCAATCAAGTGAATTGGAAGGTAGGACAACAATTATTGAACCAAGATAATTCAAATGGATTAACTTACAGAATAGTGTGACCCATGACTCTTGTGGGAATGAAATTTGGGAAAGTTGTGACCACTTCAGCTCCACTGCTCCTTCTGACTACACTTCCCAGAAATCTGTAGGTTATGTGATGTAAGAGAAGATGGGAGGGCTATATGCCAGTCCTTTCCTGCCTCCTTCTGACCCCTACACTTATTCAGCTAGCAGCAATGGGGCACAAAGTGTACAGTAAAAGTTTAATGCATTATTGTTTTGCCAACTGGTTTTATACTTAATGTTTCCTTGCATTGTATTTGCTATCTTGGAAGATTAAAAGACATTGTTTTTCTAAAAACAAACATCACTTTTTTTCTTTAACCCCTTCAACCAAGGCAAAACACAGACCAGCAGCTATTACCATGTTACTGTAGTTTCCCATCATTCCTCATCACTACTCTCTTCCTAGAAACTTCATTCTCTTCCATAATGAGAATATTGTTTAGAACCTTCATATCTGTAATCCATGATGCTTCCTGCCACTGAGTTTTGTTTGCCTAAAAAGAGAGCATATGTCTTGTCTCAGGTGCTGTAGTTGCCTGTCAGTGAACCATATTTCTGGGGAACCCTGCAGTGTGAGTCTGTGTCAGTTAGTTGTTCAGTAGACCAGGGATTCCCAACCCCCAGTCCATGGACCAGTACTGGGCTGCAGCATGCCAGCAACTGGTCCACAAAAACAAAGCCTCATCTGTGGGATGCAGGCAGCACACAAAACCACACACTCTCTGGTCTGTGGAAAAACCCTCCTCCGTGGAACCGGTCCTGGTGCCCAAAAGGTTGGGGACCTGTGCAATAGACTGTTAGTGAATGTAGGAAGATGTTTGCTTTCGTGCTGCTCATGACATTTGGATGGTTGATGGGAATAAAGGGAAAGCCATTTATTATATGTGCTGATACCCAGTAATGTTTAAGCTCATAAAAAAAAATAAGCCATCAAAAAACTAGAGAGGTGGGATTTGTACCAGGGGAAGAGTTTTTCTAAAATAAATCACGTCAAAGTATTTTTGGAGTTGAGCAAGAAGAGAAGGTAAAAAAGTTGAGTACATATCATATCACGGAACAGTATCTTATTATAGTTACAAAGCAAATGTGCAAAAATTATTAAGATGGTGTAAAGAAAGTTTTTTTCCAGTATAATTGAAAATTGGTTGGCGATATGTACATCTGGGAAATTAATGATTTGTGACCTGTAAAACTGAAACTGAGTTGATTGAAACAAGGCAGATCCTTTTGTTATATTTGAAACTAATTTAAAATGTGTGGCAAATTTTAATAATAATTGATTTTAACAACGTTCAATGACTAACATTTTGTTAAGGTGACAAAGAATTATTCTATTCTCAATTATCTAAAATGTTGGTAATTTGGAATTCCAGCACTAGATACATTTTTTCTTATTTCATAACATTGTTGCTAAACTGTTTTCCTTTGAAATAATTTATTAAATAACCCCTTACCGTAACATTTCTAATGGATTGGTCTCATGTACTTGATTGCCACATCTGGGACAATCATTGCTGTCTTCAAAGTGTTGCACAATACAACTCTTGCAGACTGCAAAATCAGATAAGATGTGTTTTAGGAAAATATGTAAATACTAACTGCAAATTATTGATTTTTTTAAGGAAATCTAATAGCCCAAGATCTACTAGAAATATATCCTGATTTTCCACATGTTATTTGAAAACCCAAATGCTTGAGTTTGAAGTTTGAAGACCATTCTTGCAATGAAGTTTTAAGATATTTAAGATTGTCAAATCAAGTTATGAAAGCTACAAAGAATTATGCCTGATTTAGCACTGTACAGTTTATTATGGATTATTATGTCCATTTTTATATGGTTAAATATTGTGTCTCATGCTTTCAGCTAATAACCTTGGAGGAGGAGGTACTCTGAACACCTGTATGTGTTATAGTGGCTGATGTTAATATATGAGGAGGGAGAGATATTTTTCTAAACACTTACAAATGTATCCTTTTCATTTATAGTATATCTCCCACACTCCACTTTCTGCTGAAATACTCTGATTCCTAGAATATCTGGATCTAGTGCCATGTGACGCGTCGTGACATATTGCAACTTTTTTTCCATTGCTGGCAATGGGGTGGGTGCTGTTTCGCCATGACACATCTGGCCCACAGGCTGGCAGTTTGACACCCCTGATCTAGGCAGATGCTCTATGTTTCTTGCTGTCAAATATGTTTGGTTTACTGGTTAAAGTACAAGGCTAAAAATCAGGTATGAAAGCCATGACAGCTAGCTGGGTGACTTTGGCCAACCAGTCCCTCTCAGCCCAATCCACCTCACAGCACTGTTGTGTGGGGGAAATAAAAAGAGGAAGGAACATTATGTATGTTCACTGCTTTGAGTTACTTATAAAGTAATAAAGATGGGATAAAACTATAATAAACAACAAAATAAATAAATAAATGTAGATTAAAAATAAATAAATAAAACTATGATCCTACTATTAAAACTCCCTTCACGGTTTCCAACTTCTTACTATTAATTAATAATTCAAACATATCTTGTAAGTGACAATGTATACCGAAATATATTCTAGTAAATATTAAACATTAATGGCTTCTAAACCACCAGCCTTAATCTCACAAGTGCCAAAGCATTAATTAATCCATTAATTAATGAGCACTAATTGCAGCAGGGAAAAAAGGATGCCTCACAAATCCCTACTTACAAGTATGCAGGCACTCGGTGACAGTAGTTGGCTTGATCAAATACCCTTTACAGATGCAGCAGGTGATATATGGGTTGAAATCTTTCACAAAGTGCTTTCTCTGTGTAGCCATTTGTGGTACTAGCAGGCAGAATAAAGTGATCAGACTTGAGACGTGGATTTGGAAGGCAAAAGATTTGGGATTACAGGAGCTGAGGTGCTGCTGGCTGCAGCTGGGCTTCTCCCAGCATTGGAGCAGGATCTGGATTCTCAAGAGGTGACAATGCCGAACCCCATTTTCTTTTTAGAGTTAGACATCTTTCAGCCCTGAAACAAACAAACCAAGGAAACAAATAAATTCCAGGAAATGGGAGACACATACCAGGGAGGAATTGGTTATGCCCCCCCCCCATTTTCCTGCTCATTAAAACAGGAAGACCACTGCCTGCAAGAGTTTGTAGTGAAAGGTGGAGGAGGAACAGAAAAAAAGAATGTAGAGGCAAGCCCACATTTCCGTCTTCCTTACCTCTTTTCTACCCCAGACTGCTGAAAACCACAGCAGCAAAAAGTGAGGAGTTTGCAAGAGAACCTGGACGGGGAAGTTGTATGTTGCCTCCTTGAGCCATCCATAGGTGGCCCTTCACCTGGGGGAGCTTGCTTCTTCCACAATCACTTATGGCCCAAGACTCTGAACCAGGAATGTGACCTATTGCTCCCTGACTCCTACCTGGCGGTTATCACCAGTCTCAGCAGAGGAAAAAGAGGACATGCACCTTCCCACCCTCTTCTTTGGTAGAGAGGCAGCCCCCCTAAACCAAGCCTCAGCAGAACAGGCCTGCTCCCATTCCCTGATGGGAGTTACTCTAATGTATGGGAAGACTACCTAATTCGGAACTATGGGTCAATAAAATACAAAGTTCTTGGAAAGTTGATCTGGCAAGGAGTTGGTAGAGGTAGAGGTCAAGAAAAATGCACATCAAAACGTAAGTAGGATTTTAGATAATAGAAAGTGCCACCAGGAATACTGAAACTTCTCATAAGATTAGTTTTATTTTCATTATGCTCTCATTAAGATGGATGACAGTGATAAATATAGCAGGATCTGAAGAATGGGAGCTGAATTACTAGCAGCTCACAACAGACAAATCAAAGATGAAATTATGCTATTTCTGATCAAAATATCCGGTTTTAACACAACTGTAACATGAAAAACATTTTGTTCAATAGTCCCAAAGGTGCTTTTTCAAGAGGCAACTGGACTTTCTTGTTAGTCTTTGAAGTCCAGTTGCCTCTTGAAAAAGCACCTTTCGGACAAGCATGACATGGATGACTGAGAATTTCCATAGAACATTTTGTTCAGAAGGAATCATAGGTATAGTCATTCAACAAAATTATCTACTGCTTATTTTTCCATAGTTTTATCTCTAATGTTATTTTTCTGGCAATAAAAATTAAAACATCTATTGGAATATTTTGCAAAAGCAGTTGCTGTGTAGCAAAAAAACCAGACTTTTGGAGGAGTACTTTCTTAGGTTTTTCAATTCTGGGCTGGATATTGTCATTTTGTAGTCATGCATTTGACACAAATATTTGAAAGAAATGTTTCATAACATTCAGAAAACAGAGGAAGCAGTTTCGGAAGTAGCTGTGTAAGCTGGCAAAAGACATAGCTACTTTAATAATTTCAAGAAAGGTGCTTTGTTTATGCTCTCATGGATTGCAAAGGACCTTTTTTAAATACTGTGTACTGTTCTAATAGGGATTTCTAAATATTTCCTTTCAGTTAAAAACAAAATATATTCAGATAACTTAGTTCTATAATCTAGTGTAAACATAACTATATATAACTGAAAAGTTATTTTTCTTCATATATTTATTACTTTTGAATACTGACTTTCTTCCTTTATAGAATTCAGGTCAACACATAAGTGTACAGGGTAAACTTTTTACTAGTGTATAATCCACCTAATGACTAGAGACATACAGATTAATTTAGGAAAGTTTTTTTCTTCCTGTGATTAGATAGGGCTGTATCTTTCCAGGCTCATACAGAAGCCTGAAATAAGCCCACTGTAAGGATAGCAGTGCAGGTGTCAAAACAGTTGAACAGAACAAAGCCACTTCCTATATCATAGCCTAGTAGTTACTACATCTCCTATAATTTCTGACTATTTTCTGTGCTAAGATGATGTGACTTGAAATACCAAAAATCTACAACAGTATTTCTCAAGCTTAATAACTTTAAGATAGCCTGGGCTTCAACACCCAGAACTCTCAGAATTCCCCAACCAGCCTTCTAGAACTTGAAGGGTACACATCTTAAAGTTGCAGACCTTGAGAAATACCTATCTAGAACAGTGGTTCTCAACCTTTTTAATGCCGCGACCCCCAACCGGTTGTAAGTGGAGGACTACTCAACCGGTCGTAAGTTGAGGACTACTCAACTGGTGCAGCACCGTTTGCAGAATGGGACTTTTGGCAGGCTCAGCAGGGCAGAGACAGCCTGGACAATTCCTATTGGCTTTTGAAAGCCAATAGAATTAGACTCTATTCAAGAGAGTCTATTCTATTGGCTTTCAAAAGCCAATAGAATAAAAGGGAGTAGCACAGCTAAGGAAAAGGGGAAAAAAATGGCGGACTGCGTTGTTTGGCGACCCCCGTGAAATGGTCGTTCGACCCCAAATGGGGTCCCGACCCACAGGTTGAGAACCACTGATCTAGAAGATATTTGATTGATTACTACATTTCATAACCACATGATCATACAACTGTCTGAAAGAAAATGAGATGCTAAAGGGCTGCTCATAAAGTGTAAGAAGCAACATTTCACATTTCAAACATATTTCTAATGATCAACATGTAGGATTTTCCATACGTGATAACAGTTTCAAGATAATTTTGAAAGTTGGGTGACTTCCTTATGTTTGAGCATTAACTTTTAAGCTTTACAATATTTTGAGCTAAATTGCTGAGTCATTTCCTTGTGTGTTTGAGATGAATACTGTTGTGGTCTTTTTTTTCTTTTTTCACAGAATAGACTACAACTGAACAGATAAAAAGCAAAATTTACACAAGCAGCTATTTTACTACATTTACAATGGTGGCAACAACTGTGAGTTTTATGGTCTGAAAATACAAGTGAAATCTATTTTTATAGAGAAACAAAAATGGAAAATAAAACATAAAGCAGAATATTACTTTGGCTAGTAAAACATTAAAAGGATCTACTTGATCCTCAACATTTTTTTTGAGTATCAAGTAGAGGCTAAAAAACCAACTTTAGAACTATTAAGTTGGGATGCATGATGACAAGACAGCAACAAAGAGCTAGTTTTCTGCCTCTCCTTGCTGTCATCTAATGGTTATCCAGATTTTTGCCCCATGAATCTAGTAGTCACACTTTAAGATGCCCACTGTTCTAAATTTTAGCTTATGATTATACTTTTCATTTGGTGTAAAAGCAAACAAGTTCAATGCCAGCCACCAACTTTGATAAATCTTCCACTAGTAAGAATGTCTTTCTCTGTGACCAGGAGGGCTATATAATGTTTTAATGGCTAACTATATTCATCCCATTGCATTCAAGGGAAAAGAGAAACTGCTTTCAGAATAGCTGAAAACAGAGAGAGAAACACAACTATTTCTATATTTCTATTACTACTACCACGACTACTACTACTGTGCATTACTGTTCTACAAGCCTAAAGCTGGCAGCGGTTTAGGGGTTGTTAAAATACTTCATCACTGCAGTACAATTTCTCAGTACACAAGTTGACAAAAAATTAGAAATGTGCTCAATATAAGATATACGAATTACAAGAAGCTCCCAGAGCAATGTTTTTCAAACTTGGCAACTCTAAGATGTATTATGGCTGGGGAATTCTGGGAATTGAAGTCCACACATTTTAAAGTTGTCAAGTTTGAAAAACAGTCCCATGTTTGACTGTATTTGAACTGTGGTTCAAAAATACATCAAAACAAAACTGTTATTGACAATTATCATTAATCAGACTTACATCCACCTTTCATTTAGGAGATCAAGATGGTATACATAGCATTCCTCCTCTATTTTTCCCCAACAATCCTGAGAAATAGGTTGGACTGGGACAGTATAACTCAGTGGTCTCAACCTTTTTAATGCTGCGACCCCCCAATCGGTCGTAAGTCGAGGACTACTCAACCAGTCATAAGTCGAGGACTACTCAACTGGTGCAGCACCGTTTGCAGAATGGGACTTTTGGCGGGCTCAGCAGGGTAGAGACAGCCTGAACAATTCCTATTGGCTTTTGAAAGCCAATAGAATTAGACTCTATTCAAGAGAGTCTATTCTATTGGCTTTCAAAAGCCAATAGAATAAAAGGGAGTAGCACAGCTAAGGAAAAGGGGGAAAAATGGCAGACTGCGTTGTTTGGCGACCCCCGTGAAATGGTCGTTCGACCCCAAATGGGGTCCCGACCCACAGGTTGAGAACCACTGGTATAACTGGTCCAAAGTCCTACTAAGTTTCCATGTCTGAATATCTTTCTTTTAGGACATTGCAGATTCAATCCCAAAAAGGTACTTTTTGTAATTATGGGAATATCAATGTACCACCATTCTACAACTCTAGAAAGTACGGTTTCTTTCTTTCCTTCTCAAGTAGCGCTCCCATATTTGGATGGTAACAAAATGAAGATCAGCCAGCAGATACAAAATCCTGCTATCTAATGTTCTGGATTTAAGTTAAGTTAACCCTATCTAAATCCAGAAATTAGAAGTTGGTTCAAACATTTCAGTTAAAGTGATACCTTGCAATGCTTCGTCTTTCTCACTAGACAATCCATAGTTATTTTCACTGAGATATTATAGCATGTGGCACCATAAAATACTCTGTAGCTCTCGATGAAATGCTAATATGCAGGAGAAGGGAAACAAATAGAAATTTGACAAATAACAATAGCTTAATGTTTGATAATGACATTCAAATGCCATTTTATGTAATTATCTTAACACAGTAGGGTAGGTGAATCTGAAGAATTATATATGTTACAATGGAGTAAAATAAATACATTTCCAATAAAGCAACATTGTTTCCAAATATAATAGGGTATTTCAGATACCTGCAAATAGCAGTCCATGGATTTAGAAACAGTATCCTACACTTAAAAGTGCTTAATAATTTTGTTTTTTATTATGGTCACAGACCAGCATTACAAATAACAACAACAACAATAATAAAAGTTATAATTAGTGGTAGATTGTTGGTGAGCAATCAAAATCTGCCTAATTTTGTAAACAGTGTAACAAAATTTAGCTACATTCAAAGACACTACCTTGTACTGTTCTGA